AGTAACTTGGCAAATCTGTTTTCTGGGATCTAGTTTATTCTATTCTGACCAGAGTACACACACTAGAATGTGTTGTAGATGATGAGGTATTTGCATTTTCATGATAAATGGTAATCTTGAGTAATCTCTTAACCTCTGGGGGCCTTAGTCTAATGTTTTTTGTAGTGAATGGGTTTATATCTCAGAAGTTTGTTCTACAAAGTGATCTACTTAAAATGAGTTTTTATTTCTGAGTTTAAATAGTCCACTTGTTATACTACAGTGGAGTGTTGAATATTTGCTTCACTGTATCAGAGATTATGTTTTTTAATAGTTACCAAATGAAGATCCAGGTGCCACATGGTATTTACCAAACACACTCCTTATTTAATGGAGAACTCCAGAATAAAGAATATTTCCTTTAGATCATATATACATATGTGCATATCCTGTGTATATATATGTACATATGGTCTATTCTTAAGAGTTGATCTATTAACTGTTGTCTCTTTTTACATAACTGAGATCTTGTGTGCATTTGCCCTTGCAGCAGGAAGCACCATCCTGAAGTCATCCACACATCCTGCCATGAACCTGCATCAGCATCCTTTTCACATGGGGAAAAAAAGTGAAAACAGGCTTGATCATTTACAAGGCTCTCACCATGTGAACTGCTCCAAGTTGATCTTCAGCTTCTTGGAATGCTGCCTCAACGTCTTATTCTCAATCAATTTTGGCATTTCAGCTTCTGGGGGCTGGTGTGTGTCTGTGTGCTGTGAGAGGAAGGATGCAACCCCATCAGCTGGGAATAGCCCAGCCCTCGGTCCCTTGAGCACATGCAGTAACCTCAGCAGAAATTGCAGCTATTCTATCACAAATGCCAAAGGTTAAGCTTTTTTCCTTGCCTATCCTACCCCTACATGCTTCACCATAGCTGTCAGCAAAGGGGTAATAAATGAATAGTTTAAATGATTTAAGTAAGTTGGCATCCCCCAAATGAGAAACTCTACCTATGTTAACCAAAGGTTTTGAATATAGTGCCTTCTGTCAGCTATTAGCCTGATGCTAACTCTGAATTCCAGACAGAAGAGGAAAGAAAAGTTCTCCAAATGTCAGCAAGTCTATTCCAAATAGTCTTGTAAAAGAACCCTTAGTGTCGGAAGATAATGAAAGTACATGTTACCTATGACAGAGCTAAAATGGTGCCATGACCTGGCAATTCCTTTTTACTGGCAGACACATCCCTGCACAGCATCGAACAGCAGCACCGCCTCCACGTAAATAGAATAGGGTGTCCCTGTCAGTGACACTATCAAATACACTTTGAGAAGGAACAAGGGCTTTCAGGGATGGCTCGGAAACTTGATTGGTTTTCCATTTATTTTTAAAATGCAAATTACACTAGTAAGTCAAAAAAATCACTCTGTTAAAAATACATTCAGAATTAACAAACGCAAAAAAAAAAAAGACACATCAGGATTGTAACTCTTGCCTTCTGAATATTAGGTTTATAACAAAAGCTCAGCCTAGAAAAATAGCATTCTTCACCGGATTTTGAGGAGGATACAGCTGTACAACTTAGATGTTTTTTCCAGATAGAATCACACTACTGTGCTCCCTGTCCACTGATTCCTTTTTAGTAGTCAACAACTGTTTTTGAAAATTTTGGTAGTGATGATAGTAGTGATTAGATGGTGACTTGGCTGCAACTTAAAGCAGGACTATGAGGGTTTATTTCTCTGTGCATTTGAATCTCTATCCATATACATGTCTTCTAAGGTGGAATCTCATCACAGCACGAATGTACAGCGAAACCTCATTCTAATAGTCACATTAATAGTCACGTTAATAGTCACATTAGGATAGTTTCTGGCATGTATAGTATTTATATTTTAAGACTCAAAGGACGATATATTGGTAAATATTTTTCTCATACATTAAACATGCATGTCACTATAAAATCATTATTTGAGGTTTCACTGACATGTTTGCAATTATATATTTTATACATGTATATATGGACAAACATATACAAACCACTGAGAAAATTCAAGCACAAGTGCTGGAACCTTTTTTTTTTTTTGTAGCTTATGTTCTAATAGTAACCTTTGTTACTTTATCATTTTCAAATGTATATGTGTGGAGATCACAGACATCATGCAGACACAGGAATGGGAATAATTTATGTAGATTTGGATGGGTTAATGTCCAAAGTAGGCTAATCCAATGACTGAAACTTCATAGAAACAAAGAGAAAAAGTTGTTTCATGCCAATTTATAACTTTTCAAGTCTGAATTTCACTGCATTTAAGGATGGTGTATTAGTTAAAAAAATTGATTTTAGCGTCTCAGGTGGATCAAAAACAAACAAAACAAAACAAAACAAAACAAAACAAAACAAAACACCATGACTCATCTGAGTTACTGACAAGCCTGAGCTAATTATGTTTTCCACTAATGAAAACCAAATAATGCTTGAATATATAGAACAAAATTTCCTAGGAATTCAGAATATTCCATAAACACATTGACCTACTATTAAGTTTCCAAAGGCATCTTGTTGCCAACTACGTTAACAGCACAGTTTTTTCTGCCACAATAATACAGGAGGATTAAAATGCACTCTAACACACAACAGATCCCCCAAATACCACAAAGAGATCTCAAATATTTCACCAAGGTAACTATTGCTCCCCCCCGCCACCCACCCCAAAAATAATCTCGTACGCTGAAGTTAGGAAAAAAAGTTCACCTACATAGGGTCTTCGATTTGAATTAGATATAAAAGAGTAAACATAGCTAATACATAATCAGTTGGCCTCTGTTGATAGAAATCCACAGCTGTTTTTGTGTTAATAAAAGACATTTGTAGATACTTATAAAAGCACCTAGAGTGCAATAAATAAAATCAGTGAATCAAGACATTTCTGCTCTCTGCTTCCAGTAGATTAATGAGTTTAGTAGATTAATATGTTTTACGTTGTCCCACCCAACCCCTTCAAGAAGACCTTATGGAAGAATTATAAAGATGAAGATTGTTACTGTTGTTATTGTCACTTGTCTCTTTTTGGCCACCATGGAGGCTCAATGGTAAAAGCACTTGGCTGACAGCTGGCAGTTTTCGTACACAGACACACTGGAGCTGCTGAGCTATGCAGTCTTGTTTCTTGACGTGAGACACACAGACTTGAACTCATTTGGAATTAATAGCAGTGTGTTAGCCTAAAGGAAGTGACTGGGGGATGTCTGCACTGAGATTCTCAGGCGCACAACTTAGGTGGGTTAAGGCAAGTATGGACGGTACAGCCTTTAGGGCAAACAATCTGCCATTTGGAATACAAGGTCGTCATGGCATGTTTTGTTTGTTTGTTTTTGCAGTTACATTGCCTACATAGCTGTGGTGCTGTTGAGACTTATGGAGTGCAGAAGACAGGGCTCTCAAACTAACGTGCCCCAGATGAATTTGCAGCTGGCAGAGGCCGACTGGCTGGGCTGCAGAGGAGTGAGTGATGGCCAGCAGAGGGCACCAACACGTCTCCTTATGAACTTTCCAAAGGCCTGGGAGAAAGCAGCCTGCTTTCACGGAATCCACCATGGGCGTGTCCTGCATATTTGTCTGTTTCAGTTAGAAAGAGGAGGCCAAGTAGAATTGGTGTGTGCCGGCCTGGGTGTGTGTGTGCGTGCATGTGCGTGTGCGTGTGTATGTGTGTGTGTCCTAGTGTATGTGGAGGCTTTATGTTTTGTTTTGTTAACATGTATATATTTAAACTCAGTTGCTTCTTGCTCTTCAAAAAAATGCAGGAGGCCACTGCGAAACAAGTTCTTTGAAAGGTCCAGGAGCTGATATACAGAAGCCATTTGTATTATTTCGACCTAAGAGAGAGACAGAAAAGATGTTTTTAGTCAAGAGGGAGAGCTCAGCCTCTTTTCTCACCTCTCCAAGCACAAGAGTAAGCCAAAAAAAAAAAAAAAGTTTTAAGCCCAAATTGTGCTTTAAATAGACAATTTTCCTCTCCTTTTTTCTCAGTGCAACCTTCTGGATAGAGAGGCCACTTATGGTCATTTGAAATCCATTTTCTGGGGTCAAATGAATATGTATGGCTGCACAATTAGGCTACCAAAAGAATGCAATGTTTTCAAATGTGGTCAGATGTGGTCTGATATCCCATGGGATAGCCTTACACTTACACTGCAGGGAGCCCAAACAGATCGCGGCCTGCTTTGGCACCTAGGTTAGTGGTGGTCAAAGCACCTACTTTGTTAGAAAATTACCCTGTGGATGTGGGCATGTTTCTGTGCAGCAACTTCATAGTCATTATTTGTTTCAAAAAGCTTTACCAAACTAAGAAAAAATCAACAAAAACTTTTTCCTTTTTAGGTGGATTAGAGATCATCAGAAGAATTATAGGCCTAATTCAACTTAACTTAAAAAAGAGGATTGTCTATTCATTGACTCCAGGAACAGAAAGAGGGCTGAATGGAAGTCAGTTAGGGCAGTTTTCAAAGCTTTGTCCAGGCTCTCAGCCACAGAAGATTTACTGGGTATAATGGAAACCCTATAGCTAAAACTGTGCATTGCTTTTAAGCATTTGCTTTCCTTCTAGGGAACTGCTTTTATTTCCAGTTTCTATATAATATCACTGGGGTGCTTGCAGTGGCCCACGATGCTAGATTACTCTTGCTTTACGAGACTTCTTTATGGCAGGTTGACAGAAGTTCCACCCCAAAGGACAAAGACACAGGAGATGCTCAGGTCTCTGCCTTCCAGCAGGGGATGAAGTTTATGCATGAATCAGTTTTGGTTTTGCATAGGACTTTAATAGGCAGTGGCTCTCCCATGATTGTTTCTGAGGATTACACAGTTGAAAAAGCTCTTCAACACCACATAATGTGAAATCAAAAGGGAATAAAGGGAATGCAGGAGAAGGGGAGGGTGCAGGCACGTATGGAAGTACGACAGCTAAGTTAGTGTAAGCAAGTAAAGATAAGTAGTTTTAAAATCAGCGACTGGGGAGAGGGCATAGCTGAAGCAGTAGAGGGCATGCTAAGCATGCACGAGGTCCTGGGTTCAATCCCCAGTGCCTCCTCCAAATAGAAATAAATGAATAAAACTAATTACCGCCCCCTCATAAAATAAAAGAAAGCAAAACAAAAAACAAAAATAAATAAAATGCTAGAGCAAACTCACAGTCCATCTAGGAATTTGAAAAAAAATTTAGGGGTCAGGAAAACTGGCTGATAATCAGGGCTGCTCAACTGACAAGTTGCATGACCTGTGTTTTCCTTTCCTTTCATCCAGTTTCCTCATCTCGATGTGAAATCCTAGTGTCCTAGTACTTGAGGTCCCCTGGGGGATGTTTTGTAGAAGGGATGGTAGTAGTATTTTGACTGGTGGTTTGTTAAACACCTTAAGTATTGTGAAATTTTTAAATTTGAATTCTGTTAAACATTTAGCTTAATTCATGTGACTTGAAAGCTTTTATATAATTTTACCATTCCCAGGCAGTAAGGAGGCAAATAATATTTTTATTATCTTTGGTTTGACATTTAAAGTGCCCTATATAATAAACATGAGAAGTTTTGTCTCCAAGGAATTTCATGCTGGATATTAAATTTGAAGAATCCTTTCTTTAAAGATGATATTAGGATGATAAATGCCTGATTGGAAACTATATACTTGATTATGCATAATTAGAATTCTTACATTATTATCGTAGCTGAGCCTTACATAGTGGTTATAGCTGATTTATTCTATTTTGATCATATGTATTGATCATTCATATTGACCGCCACAATGGAATGTTATGTGATAAAAACAGTACGCGATATTGTCAGAAGCAAGAAATTCCAGGACTCACAGGTATTCTGGTCTCTACTCTTGAGCACAGACATATTGTTACATGTTACTTGGGCTGATATATGTGCTATGTTGTTTACAGAAATCTTTTGGGAATGAAATATAGTATATGCTGATTTCTGACTTGAGAAAGTCTTTTCACGAGTAACGTCAGTTAACATAAGCATTGTTACTACAACTAATAAATTATGTTTATTAAGGTTTCGTATGTGACATGTCATACATCATACATGGTCTACAAGCATTATTTTATACAAATTCAGAACAATTACATGAAGTACATAAACTACCATCTCTATTTTGCAGGTGAGGAAACTTAGGCTTGGTGAGAATACATAAAGTTATTCAAATAAAGTTGTATGTCCAAGGTCACAAAGAATTTTATCTTATGCCGTCTGCCTTCAGTAGGTTATCTTAACCACTACTCCTTACTGCTTTGCCCTTATATTGTAATAGAACACTTTATACAAGGCTATATTACAATATTGAGAAGAATGGTAAATAGTTGAAAGGATTTATCATTTTAATTTTTGTTTGAGCTATCAAGTCCTTTTGGGAAGATAGGAAAGGTATGGCAATAAATTGAAAACAACTATAATATGGGACAAAAGAAAGAAGAAATATCAAAGGAGAAAGAGATTAAGAAATGTTTCATAAAGAAAGTACAACTTAAGATACAATTTGAAGGGTCATAGGATTCAAAAGAATGGAATTTGGAAAAAAAAGAAATTTAGTGTCAAGAGAACTGCATGGGCAATTGGAAAAATACACGTCATATTTGCAGAAGGCAAGAGTTTTAGTTTGGTTGGAAAAAAATATATCAAGGGTGATATCAGACTACGTGTGCCCTCAATAGATGACAAGCTTCAGGAAGCAGGGGACCGTTCTTATTCATCATTACATTTCCCCAGTGTCCCCCAGCATGATGGTTTTGGGGCAGGGGCCTAAAGTAATCAGAGTGGTACCTTAAGAAGGTTAATTTGGCGGTTACATGGAAGATGGGTGGGAGTTCTAAAACAAGAAAGAGACTGGAAAACTGAAACTAATAAATGCCTGAATTAGGGCAGTGGTTGTATGGATGTAAAAGAGAGGATGTATGCTATACTGTTTACAGAAAGGATACTTTGAATGATGTATAGTATTGGCTGATTTCTGAACTGATAAAGCCTTTTTTTATGCGTGGTGTTACCCAATGCTTTTAGGGAACTACAAGACAGACACACACAAAATGCAGGCATGATGCATAGATCATTCCCTTTGTAAAGAGAAGCTTAAACGGGGATGCATAAGGATTACTTTCATCTCTCTGGAGGAGAAATACTCCCCCCAATCCATTTATTATCCTATACACTAACAATATTGAAAGGTAAAATGATTCAATGGTGGAGGACGACGACGACAAACACATATCTTCAAAGAGAGAAGCTCACGTTTCAAAATGAATTGGAATCTTACTTTCTATTTTGCTCTTCGCTTGCAATTCAGCATATCACGTGATGCTGATATATAGAATTTGTTATCAGTTGTTATCCAAGGGAATTTGCCTAAACACAGATATAAAAATCAGGCTCTGATTGTATGTCTGCTGTCTTGAGTGCTAGAGCTAAGGGTCTGGTAAGTTTCAGTGTTAATATTCTGGTTTCATTTTCACTTTTCACACGAGAACAAGGATAGAGTATTACTGCTCAGTTCTTCACTTTTTAAACACTACATAGAACGAAAGTGATAAGCTGTCATTTATCATCCAAATGAGAACACTTCTGCGAGTAGTAGGGAGTGCTGGTAATGATGCCACCAGGACAACCCGTGTAAACTGAGACTATACTGGGAAAACCAGAATATATGGTTTATATATCATTACGTATAACTACCTAGCATGTTATATCATTTTCAAAATACACAACTTTTGGGTAATTCAAAGAAGTGGTACATTATATTGGATTTTTAGCTATGTAGTTGATACTTATGTAAGACTATAGGTAACTTTAGAGATGGCTTTTCTGATACATTACTTTAAAAAAAGTTATGAATAAAATGTTATCAGAATTAGCTCAGTCAAAACAATATTAACAGAAGAGAAACTACTGGAAGGTTACGAGGGAAGCTACATGCCATCTAGCTTGTGCCACAGTCACATTTACTGAGTCAACGTTAGTATCCCAGAAGAGCGCCTCCACGGTGGGGTACTTACATGTACATAGGCTGTAGTTGTAAATGAGATGTCTTCTGAGGCCCCTGATAGCCATAAGAGTCAAAGCCACCTATGAAATCAACTGGAAAGGGACAATTGCCTTAGTTAGTTAACATTTCCAAAGAGAGAAACATTCACGATCAAGGTCTTATACAAATTACTAATATAAACCTTTTAATAATCTATTAAACCAAAAGTAGCTAATTGTGGAGGAAAAAAGATAGTTCCTTCAAGGCAGTGATGTTTTTAGTCCCCTCAACTGTGAGATTCAATTACTGCTTTACAAAAATGTATTCACTTGGAAGAAGACATTATGTACTCCTTTGAAGCAACCAAGACCTAATTGGAGTCATAAAATTCACTTGCACTGTAAGGATGCTCTGTGTCTTTTTAGTTAGCGTGAAGATTTTCTGCAACACATGACAATATAAAAAATAACGATTGCTCAAGTGCATGTATCTATCGGCAACTGTGGCACTAGTAATAATACCATGTGCTGTGAATGTCAAGTGCAAGATGCTGTGGCGAAGCTCATGTAAATTAACCCAACATGGCTGTCCCTGCCATTATGTGGTTCATGATCTCAGACAGACAATCAGAAATAAAGATGTGGAGCAAAGTCTAACCAAACATTCAAATGCAATACACACCTAGATATTTAAAATATAATGAGCTATAACAAGAGTTACTATGGTAGGTTATCTTATCCAGAATGGCTGCAACAATATCTCCTATTCCATATCTGCTCATAATGTGACCTTGACACTCATCTTATCCTGTGGTTTGGGTCTCTGTCTCTTCTTCTCGAAACTGGGCAGAGCTTTGTGGCCACTGTGACCAATAGAGTGTGGTGGAATTGACACTATGTGACTTCCAAAGTTAGATCAAAAAAGGTCTTGTGCTTCCCTTTACTCTAGTGGGATGCTCACTTCTGGAACACAGTCACCACGCCTGAACTAGAAGTCCAAGCCAGCTGGCGTGGAGAGATCAATGGAGGACCTCTGGGTATGATTTTGGCTGACAGGCTAGCTGAGGTCCCAGCTGATAGTCAGCATCAACCTCTGGACACGTGAAAAAAGCTGCCTCCAAATGATTCCAGCCCCAAGCCACTGAGTCAACCCAGTGTTGGAATCTTCCCAGCTGAGGCCCCTGACATCAGGGCTAGGAGACAAGCCAGCATCACTGTGCCCTGTCTGAATTCTTAACCCACAGAATCCATGAGCATAATAATGGTTATTTTAAACCACTATGCTTTGGACGTGATAGTAACTGGAATGGTAGTTAGTGAGAGTACTGTACAAAGTTTTGTGTTTGTTTTTTCTTTTCCATTCCTGGATGTGGACGTTGTATGGTGGGGCTACAAGAGGCAAAACGACCAAAAGTTGAGAAGATAGGTGACAGGAAGGAGAATGAAGGGGAACTATAGACTTTAGGATGCTAGAGGATATCTTTACTTTTTTCTAAAACCTTATTCTACTGGCTTAGCTTTGA